CACTCCTTTGCCCAGGTTCTCATGCAGGCAATGCCCTTTGTTACATAGGTTTATTAAGTCCCAAGGGCTTGGCAAGGCCTTCTTTCAGTGTGGCGATTACGTCTGGCTTCTGGGTGACCGCCAGCCAATGGACGGCGTCGTACTTCACGGTGGTTCTGATTGGCTCATTCTGCCGCGCTATTTTTGTGCCTACGCAGCCCTACCGGAACAGCAGGACAGTCTGGTCAGAGACCTGGTGGCCTGGTTCGCCAATGTCATTTTACCGGTGGAGTCCTTCTTCCACACTCTGGCCTACAACTCTGCCTTCTGTGAGCTGGTGGTGAACAGTAACCTGCGTTTCGTCAACTGGCAACGGCCTAGAGGCTGCAGTTGTCGTCTCAACCAAACGGCTGATTGGTGCGGATGTTCACCTTCCGTCTTCTCCGGGCCCCGTGACCTCTATCGCTTACACAAGGCCCACCTCTTGCATTCTGCTGAGCCTACGTCCCCGCAGTTACAGATGTTTGCGAGAAAATTTGACTCTACTATCGATGTTGCTATGGTGAATTATGCTGAAGTGCATTTACTCGGCCGTGAGCTCCCGGGTACGTACTGGGCACTTTTAGTACTCCTTATTGTGTTTCCTTGCAGAACCCCCAGCCACTTTGGCATAAATGTGTGAGCAGCGGTTGCGACCGCCATTAACCTGGCTTGGCAGTACACGAGAAGACGGAGAAGAGGTCTTTATAATTCTTTGTTGGAGACTCTCAGCCACCTCACCCTGCAGATCGGACTTTACGGGGTAAAAAAACCTAATTTTAGGACTGACTGACGACAACTAATAAGCCGTTCCGGTCTCCTTTGCCTGTGTTGTCAATATTTTACTGAATAAAAGTCTGTGAAATTCCATGTCGAGCGTCAAAAACACTGCGGGACCAGTGAGTCCCCTAACCGATCAGCTAGTGTCCATGTACCATAGCTTTTTGTCTTGTAGGGGTCTAAGTAGTGGTTATAATCAGCACCATCATCATTTCGAATCCCGGGTTGATGGAAAAAGAGAAGAAGAAGAAGAATGCTATAAGGATTTTACAAACCTGAATTTTCAGCAAAAATGGCTCCATTCACGGAGAGCGGACCAACTGACAAGTAATAGAGAAAGAAGAAGAATGCTATATTGAGGATTTTAAAACCTGAATTTTCAGCAAAAATGGCTCCATTCACGGAGAGCAGATGGTAAGGCAAATAAAGGGTCATTTTAAAAGGTCTATTCAGCAAAAATGGGCTCCATTCACGGAGAGCAGATGGTGAGGTAAATAAAGGGTCATTTTAAAAAGACAAAGGTAAAGGGTCATGTAATACTCACAAGTCAAGTTTTTCACGACATTCACATCATCTG